CTAATTTCTTTTAGAGGTGTCTAGATTCTTATCTTCTATCATGGTGAAAATATTAAAAAGAAAAAAAAAGTGTATACTTACAAAACTCTATCATGTTTTTTTCTTTCCTTATTTATAATGCATAAAGATACTTTGGACATATTTCTAGACTTGTGTACCTTGTAGGTTAATTATATTTGTCATTTCTCATTGCCAATGTCTTCAATTTGAAGGACACATTTTATGATGAAATATCTTTCAATTAATTTTGTTTTATCCTTGTGCATATAGCTGACTGAATGTCTGAATTATGAAATATTTGGTAGTTAGTAATAGATTTGATCTCAACTTTTAACATACAGATTATTTCCAAATAAGCTTTCCTTTTTGACCAACTAAAAGAGAAAAAAAAACTAATTTGGACTCTAATTGGATGTTCTGATATAAGGTACCATTGCAAAGAGGCGAATTCTGTTCATTTTCATAATTAACATTTTCAGTCATGCTCAATGACTTCATTGATGACAAATTTCGGGAGACTGTTTAATTTTTACACTTGCTACCAAATCCTTTCAGCTTTCTCAGAAACCTGATGTTTTTTGAAACTCAAGTTGATATAAAGTTGAAGGTACAAAATAAATAAAATTCAGAATCACCTATGTGAAAAACCACCATCTTAAATTTTGTCCATTGTGTTAATGTTCAGTTAAATAATTGTTTGCAAATGACAAATTTTTCTTTGCAATCAATCATCTTTTGTAGACAGAGGTAGACCATTTCTTTCTAAGTTCTTAGCCTAAAATCTTTCTTGGTAAAGAGTTGCTGTCTTTTTAATACTCTGAATTGTAGTAGAGGGGAAAAATTTTTTTTTTTTTTTTTTTTTTTTAATATCTTTACAATATTTTTTATGAATTGTATTACCATAGTTTATTCTTTTCAAATTGATTTGTCCAGGTTTTAAACATTTCCTTTTCTCAGTACTTTAGATTCAATTAAGATTTATTCAAATGAAACTTGGAGTTAATATTTTTAATTTGTGATTTCTTTTCAATGTTTCTTTTTCAGAAAAACACAACCTATCATTCATAGAGACATCAGCTTTAGATTCAACTAATGTGGAAGCAGCCTTTCAAAATATTCTAACAGGTATGTGTGTGTTTTTATTCATTTATTTAATATGGTGGGCACAGTATTGTTTTGTCTAGGCTGTGAAAGTGGTGCACTCTTTGTTGTAGTTACTCTTAATTTAAACCCTATTGGCTATGTTGATATACCATCAAAAGTAGATTGATTTCAAATGTAAAACCTATTATTTGGTAGTTTGATTCTTTTTTTTCTGGAAAAGAGTTAACAACATACCAGGTTTTAAATTCTTTGTAAGTCAATGATTACAATCCATTTCTGTTAAGATGGCTGCTAATGTTATGACTCACTATGTTGTTAAAGGTTCTGAAAAAAGTCTTAACAGTTTTTTTTATACACTGTCTATATGTTGCAAATGAATATTTGGCTATGTGAACATACTGCAATTTATGCAAATTTTATCACTGAATCTGTTATGAAAAATTTCATATCTGTTTAATGACTTTGGCAAAACAAGTCCATATCTGCTCAATTTTATTCCTGAAACATAACTTTTTCTAAAGGATTAATGGATTTTATTTTTAATCTGACATTTGTTATTTCGAGCATTATTTTTAGTGGATAGCCATGTTTGAACTAGATACCCCATATATATATATATATATATATATATAATGTGCGCGCGCACACACACAGTTCTAATCAACACAGATTGACGTTGAACTCTCTCACACACATACACACTATTATAATATAATTTTGTTGTTTTATAGCAAAGTGTTTAGTGTGGTCTAGTGATGGCAGAGAAAAAAACTGATATTTTTACCAATTCTGATACAATAATTAAAATTTATTTTTAGTCCCTGCAATTGATTTAGGAAACTTAATGAACAATGTACATTTATTAATAAAACATGAATACAAAAGTTTGAGATAATAAAACATGAATACAAAAGTTTGAGATAAAATTAGATATCCTTTTTACTTAATTGGGCAAGGGTTTAAAAAGAATAAACAGAACAATATGTTTAGGTAAATCTCTTAAGTTAGCTACAGTTGACATATTACTTTGGTTATCATCAGTAATCTTAAGACACTTCCAAACTACACTTTATTTAAGGCAATGGATAAACTTTTCTCCCTCTGTCAATGCTTTCAGTGACTGAAATAGAAAACTGTCAATAACCTACAATCTCAAGCATTAATAGAACTTAATAATTTTTTTTTTCCTCCTCCTTCTGCACTTTTTGCAATTTAAATTAATTTTTACTTGATTGATTTTTTTTTTTTTTTTTTTTTTTTTTTTTTTTTTTTTTCCATTTCAGAAATCTACAAAATAGTTTCACAGAAACAGATCCGTGAGAGCCCAGATGATGATAACTCAATCAGCACAAATGTCCAGACGATCACTGTTGCTCCAACAGACAATTCTGCAGGGGTGAAGAAGCAATGCTGTACTGCGTAACATGATTGCAGGGGAGGGCTAAACTGGCTGCAGAGACCAATGGACAGAAACACTGGGGGTGGGGTGGGGGGTTCAGGGCTGGGATGAGAGCAAGCAGGCAGGCTGCTGGCTAGATGGTGGGGAGGAGGAGGATGATGGTGGCGGCGGCATCAGCATCAACTGACCCTCTCTCTCTGTACTACAAGCAGGCGATAACCCTTACAAGAGAAGCTAGTGCAGCTCTTACTACCGCTACTACTACTGTTAACTATTCCTCCTCCACCTGTTACTAATTATTAGTCTTACTACTATTACTATTACTACTATTACTACTGTTATTACTACAGCAGCAACAGCCTGGCTTCTTGTAGTGATTGGAACAAAACCCTGCATGATCATTTTTGGTTCTTATTTACCTTCAACATGTGCTGACTGCGTCTGTACATAAGATATCTCCGTGGCTTCACTTGAACATGATCATGCACCATTTTTTTTTTTTTTTTTTTTTTTTTGGGGTAGGGTGGGGCGCAAATTTGGACTTCTGATCCCTCCAGGCTGTTTCTTGTTTTTTGTTGTTTTTATTCTTTCTCTTTTCTCCTCCTCCCCCTCTTCCCTTTCTCTCTATCTCTTTATTCTTTTCTTCTATTAAGAAAAAAAAAAACATAAAAATATCTTCATAAGCTATAAAACTTGCTAAAGATCAATCAAGGGCTGATCACTTTCATAGTTTTATTTTTTTTTTTTTTTTTTTTTTTTTTTTGTAATATTTTTACGATTTTTTTTTTTTTTTTTTTTTTTTAACGAAATTTTCAGTGGAAATTACCCCCAGAATAAACATTGTAGTAGTCAAATCAACTTTTCTCCTCCTCCACCCCACTTTTTCTGACTACTTCCCCTTTCTTTATCTCCTTCAATGCTTAGTTTTGTTAATTTACTCTTTAAAAAAAAAAAAAAAAAAATGAAAAATTGTCCTCATCTCTTATTTTATAATATAATTTTCAGCTGCTACAGTTTTTTCTTTATAGATTAAAATAAAAAAAATATTATATACACAAATAAAACTGATTTCTCTATGAGTTGTGAACAAATATCTCGTGTCTTTTTATTTTTTTTCTTCTCCCGTCTCTTCACAATAAAAACAAAAGAAAATCCACTTGTTTTCTCAAATATGTTTTTATAATACCAAATGTTGTCTAATGCCTTTCCAGAATATGCCAAATCTTTAAGGTAACCAGCTTAGCAAACAAATAAATCTCTCTGCTTTTTTGTTTCTCATGTGATTGAAAAATATTAAGAAAAATTTATAAAACAAAAAAACTGCATAAGTTCATGTTCACTGATGTCTGCCTTTTTTATCGTGATGTGAAGTTTTCAATCAAAGGATACACAACTACAAGGTTGACGTATTAGTAAATGAGGTGGATGGGTCTGTCTCTAGCACCTGGATAGCTGAGTGAATGTCTGCTTATGGTCAAGAAATAGTGTCTTATATTTTTCATTAGAGTTTTTTTTTTTTTTTTTCTCCCCACACCTCTTATCTTCATTTTCTACTGTTTACCATATTCAATAGCAGCATTTGATCATCTGCTTCTCTTGACATCAGTACCCTTAACTCTCCCCCCACAATTTCTTTCTTGTCCGAGAAATAGTCATTATGAAAATGACTTCAACAAAAATGTTCTATAAAATAAAAAAATTAAAAAAAAGCTATGATATAACCATGTTGATTAAAGTAAGCTTATATTCAGAAAAGAATTTTTTTTCTTTTTTTTAAATGAGTTCAAATAAACTGGATTTCGAATTTATAGGAAATATTAAATAAGTAAAAGAAAAGCGGAAACAGTTAAAAACATTAGCCTTTCAATATTTTTTTTTTTCTCTCCAGAAGACTTCTTTTTTTTTTTTTTTTTCTTTTTGTGAAGTCTTTATTACCCATCTTCATATTCCCAGTGGAGTGGAGATTAAAATTAATATGCACACAAATATGCCCCGTTTTTTTTTTTTTTTTTTTTTTTTTTTCTTGTCAAAAATTATTTGCTTCTAATGTTAAACATGTTTTCTCTTGTACCCCTCCTTCCAAAGAGAATCTTTTGTTATTACAAGCCTGATAAATCTTTTTCCTTACCCTCCTAAAGCCATTCCAAACTTGTTGTTTAGTAAGAGTATTTGCAAATATTTACTTGATTTAAAATGTCCAAGATGAAATAATTCAACTACACACACACACACACCTCTGAACAGCTATGATACCTTAGGCAAGTCTTTTGTTTGTCTGTGGTAATCGGCCTAGCAATATCTTTATGCATTAAGTATAAACTATGCTATAACCGAGATATAGAAAAACGTCTGCATTAAATTTTTGTCTGTGCAATTTCTACAGATATGCTTCATATACACTGCTGTTGTTAGAAATTGTAATTTCAAAATATTGTAGAGTCTTAACTTCAGTTCTAATCACTTATTCTTTTGAAGTAAATCCATACAGATTTATCAAAAATACATCTTGAAATGAGGCGATTCCTCCTCCAAAAAAAAAAAAAAGACTTCATTGCAATTTAAAATGTTTTAAATTATAAAAATTGCTTAGTTGAGATCCATTTGCTTTGCCATTTTTAAGCAAGCCACTTTGTAGTAGAAACATCTTGTAAGTAAATTCTTTCTTTTCAGTATCAAAAAGTTACTTCTATCACTCTAAAATGTTATTTTGATATCATTTCTTGCCAAGATTCACTTCATGACAACAAACCATTTCCAATTGTTTGTTCACAGTACATTCAAATATCTTTAGTTTTGGCAGATGTCTTTAAGAAATAAAATAAAAGTACAGAAACCAAACTGTTCTTTCTGCCTCCTAAAGCTACGAGTATTGTGCCATGTGCAGTATCCATTTGTCCGCTGTTCCTAGCTTTATCTTGAAATGCACTAATTGTACCTAAATTCTCGAACATGTAACTGCCATTAATAGATTTTAGATTGCAGGGAACACGCCTTAAACAAAGGGCAACAATCAAATAAATAAGTAACATTATAGTTACTCCCCTTGAATTTTTTTTCTTTCCAAATGAGATTGCATTAGTTTCTGTAGTGTGCGCCATAAATGTACACACACTCTGAGTAAAAACTTTAATTTATTTATACCCATTGTTCTTAATTTGGGTCCAAAACTTATTTCTTACATATACACACACACACACACACATCCTTGTAAAATTTGTAATCTTTTGTTATGCAGTTACAACCAAATGACTGATATCTAACTATAGCCATTTCAGGCTGGTCTGTGATTGGACTTTTTGCTTGTCTGAATAAATATGCTTTTTAACTGATGACAAATATATAAAGTCTCACTTACCATTTTTGTTATATACTGTTTTTTTTTTTTTTTTTTTTTTATATATAAATAGCCAATTTGGCAAACATATTTTACCAGTCAATGTAATCAGAAAAAAATTGATTTTTATTTCAATAATCTGCATTAGTAGATGATTTATGGTGATCATGTAAACAATATATATATAATTTGTGCTAAGTTTTGAATGTCCCACATTTTCAGTATCAGTCTAGTGAGAAAGTCCCATGGCTAATGAATCCCTTGCAATATCCACCTAAGCTACTTCAGTTTATCACCTCTTCCTACTAAACTGGTGCTGAAACCATGTGCAATACAAAAAAAACTTTCAATAAGTAATAAAATCCAATTACAAAAATAAAGTAAAACAAGTGTTATCGTGATTAACATAAATCATGTCCAATTACACTAATGTAGATTAAAAAAATAAAATAAAATCCATTTTTCTGAAGATGCTGATTGATTGGCAAAACCTGTCTTTTGACAAATTTCCAAATTGTCTTGTATATTCAACTGAGGTTAGTAAGTTGTTTTTTCCTTTTGTTCTTACACCGCTGAACAATTTTTGAAATCTCTTTTCTGATCTGTTGTTTGTTGCCATGTTCTTTTTGTCTTTTTTTTTTTTTTTTTTTTTTTTTTTTCCTAAAGATTTTAACAATTTCTCTATATCTTCTGTTCCTATTTACTGCTAATTCTTTGGACTTTACCAAATTTTTTATCAGGAAGATTTCAATGTGTTATGAGATCTTTGATATCTGCTTTTTTTTTTTTTTTTTTTCCTCTCTCTCGCTCTCTCTCCCCCCTCAATGAAGTGAACTTCTCTTTAAAAAAAAATAAATAAATTTAAAAGCTTTAAAATTGATTTGGTAATTTTTTTTTTTTTTTTTTTTTTTTTTAATTCCTCCCATCATTGCAAGTCAGTAATTATAAAATATTACATTCCATTGCAAAATCAGTGACTTCCTCTAAACGGCAATAATATTTTACTTCAATCTGATTCTAATATTAAATTGTTGTTCTTCCAGAATATATATCCCCCGCCCCAAGTGGATACCCATATTTGAGTACTCTCTCCATTTCAGGTTACTAGCTGAAACTAAGTAAATATACTGTTTAAAAAAAAAAAAAAAAAATAAATGCTGCGTCTACTCAAATAATGGCTATCCACTAAAAATAAGGTCTAAAGTAATAAAATCCATTTCTTATTTAGAAATTGCTTTATGCTGAGATACAAGACTGAGCAGATGTGAATTTTAAAAGAATGTGGGAATTATTCGTGCTTGCTTTTTTTTTCTTTTTTTTTTCTTGATCAGTCAAACCCGTTGTGGGTGAGTCAGTCTTCTAAATCACTTCGGATCTAACGACAGTTCTCCTACCAAGGAGAAGACCAGTTGGAATCCTACTGCAGAGTTTGTTTTTGTTTTTTTTTTTTTTTTTTTTTTTTTTTTTATAGTGTATTCTTTAATACTATAATGTTCATTGTACAGAGACATTGAACAAATCTCTCTTGTGGGGTGCAAACAAAAATCGTTACAACTTAGTTTAAAACTTCACTTTTCTTGGTGAAATATACAAAATGTTTAAGATATGCGGAAACCTTGATCATGACAGATCAATAAAATCTAGACTTTTACTTGCATGCAAA